AGGTAGACAAGTATAAATAGGGAACAACTAGCGAGCATAGAGTGGCTATGCATAGAAAATCAGCTGCTATTCAGGACACGCAGAGAGAACATGATAGGCACCAAACTAATATTGAATTAGTCAACCAAATTTCAGATTTATTTTGAAATCCTTATTTGTTCAGATTGAAAAATTTTCAAATCTACAAATATATATATATATATATATATATATATATATATATATATATATATATATATTATCACTTTAAACGTTACTTAAAGTGGTCAGTCATGTTTGGGTAGTCGCGCCATTTATTTATTAAATAGTATATATATTTATTATCGTTTACCGACCTTGTTCTTTTTTTTTATATAAAAAACTTAATTTAGCTTAAAAATAAACCATAATCTATATTAAAAATTAAACTTATATCTTTCCCATCAGTGAACTTGAATCGTCGATTCCGTTTTCCGTGCCGATAGCCGTTACACTATCCTGAGATCCAGGCAATTTTGCGATACAATAACAAATAAAAAATATTATGGATATTTTTTCTGGATGACTAGAATGTCAATTCGTGGTTCAATTTTAATAGCAATTTACTGTTGGAGAAACAAATATTTCAACCCCTTAACCGAACGGACATTCATGTATTTCTTTTCACTTAACTTCCACAAGAGTGAAGTTGTCCAATTTCTGCATTTTTGTCCGAAATGCTGTAAAGAATATTGAATAATAAAAAGTATATCAACATACGTTATTGAATTTTGGGTTCTTTTCTTAGACTGCATCAGACAAAATATTTCACAATCGGTGGTAATTGATATACTAGGATTTGGTTTAGCTGTTTCGAAATAAAATAAAATAAAGACAAAAACAAAAGAATTCCAAAAGGCCAACCATTTTGTCGGGCGGCCAAAAATAATGCAAGTTAATTTTTTTCTTCTTTTTTAGACTTCCGTACTTTAAAATTACGGACGCTAGCTTTTGGGAATGCTAACAAAAAAAAAAAAAAAAAAGTATCAGTTTCATTCAGTGCTTATATTTTCTTTTTCATCTACTCCGTGTATTACTGACCGTGTAATGATTGTGTGAGTACTTGCGATAAAAAAGCAACTTAAATCAGGATGAAATAAGCAGTTGTCAAAAATTAGCAATGGATGAGAAGATATACTGGAAGCACAACTGGTGTTACGAATCTATTTTTCACTTTCGTCTATTTTTCTGGTTTTATGATTTTTATTCTAAGAGGTATTAAAAGGGATGCATCATGGGATTCTGGCCGAATTTTCTTCTAGTCCATTTACTCATTTTGGTGGGGGGTTGCGAAGAAAGAACAAAACGGCGCATATTTATTCAGGCAAAAAAGTTAATCATCACTCCTGAATTTTCCTTTTTACCGAGCGGATTTGTTTTTTCACTTAATACATACATTGAACACATTTTTCTTTCATTTCATATTGTCTACCACATATACGATGTTAAACATCATTCCTCATCGCAAATATTAACTAACAGTAACTTACCTATTATGACGGACCCTATCTGAAGGGGAGAAGAGTATAAATTACTCTCTCCAAGATAAAGGGAAATCTGAATGATAGACAAAAATAACTTGTTAATATTTTGTTGTCTGTTCACACTATCAGCAGTAAAAAAACGTCACATCACAAGTTCCATGTTTCATTACGGTCATTAGGTGTACAGTTGTCATATCAGCGTGTCAAGAGCGAGATATCTTGATGGTCCCAACTCCAAGCAGGTTTTGGATATCAGAGTTTTACTTCTCTTAGTCTCGTTGCCACTTGAAGACAAGAGAGCGTAGTTGTCTTTGCTACTTAAACATAGACGAGGTTGAAGAGATGGTTTCATAACTTTTCTTAGGATATTTGTGCAAAAGTGGACGGAACTCGGCCGGATTTCGAATTTGACTAGCCGAGTTCTCTTTGTAAGTTCTTGACCGTTACATTTGCTGCACCTTTCAAAATATAAAATTCTTCGAAAAAAATGGAGATCAAAATGTTTGTCGTATGTAAAAGTGAATTAGCGTTGTATGAGGAACTTAGAATAAATTAAGCGAAATTGAAAAGATTCGAAAACACATGTTTACAAAATACTAATAAAGGATATCAAAAAGAAAGGGTCTACGTAAACTCACAAAGGCGACACGCGTGAAAAAAAATGCTAAGGCGCTTTTCCGTGTGTGTTGTTGATTATTTGGTTTTCCACCCAGTTTGATGGGGATTCAGAGCCAGTTTTTTTAGACGAAATCAGAAATAACACTAAACTCGTACTAATCGACAAAATTACAGATTTTGAAATCATTACTTGTTTGGATAGAAAAATTTTCAACATTCACATAGCATCTCTCTCTCTCTCTCTCTATATATATATATATATATATATATATGCGCTAATGCAAAGCTCTTCAGTAAAATGAATACATCACTATGGCTGATTGTCATTGGTTTACATTCGTAAAAACAATACACTAGATTTAGCTGCCTCATACTGTCGAATGAAGATAACTCAGTGGTAGAAACTCTGACTGACCTCAAATCGGTTGAGTTTTAATCCTGGTTTGAGATTCTGCCAGACAGTACTCTCTGTGAATGATATATATATATATATATATATCTAAAAATTAAACTGAGAGGTGCCCAGCCCTAGGGAACCGCTGCTCGAGGCTGCGCCCTCTCATTGCACCAGAGAGAGAGAGAGAGAGAGAGAGAGAGAGAGAGAACGGCACTCGCACCGAGGCCAGAGCAACCAACTGCGGGTAATTTTTGTTCCTTACTCGGGTGTACGCGCTAGGGCTACCCACCTTAAAACTGACCTTGTATCACAACTTGTCTTAGTGGGGAGACAGAGTAAATACCTACTATCGTATCTATGGTTATATAGCTCTTTGTTATGTGGTTTATAATAACCATTATTCAAATCTAATGTCACATCGAGGAAGTTAATCCCGTTAGCATTGATGGTAATATTTAAATTCGTGATCGTTAAAGAATTTTATCAGTTCCTTTCTTACTCGGTCTATATTTCTAGAATTTTTACTGTGGCTTTCACCAGTTTGTAGGGTATTGTGATCATAAACAAGAATAGATACATAGATAAAATAACTCACTACTCAACGATACCGACACATAAAAACGAACAAAAAGTAACTACTGAAACAAAAATATAACTGGGAAATCAGGAAACTAATTAAAAATGAAATCAAATCATGGTACAGACTCAGAATATCACTCCAAAACACCCAAAATTTACGGTCTCACTAACCCCCCTCCAAAAAAAAACGAAAAAACTAATGAACACTATATTATATTTTTTAAATGAATAAATAAACTGTTATGATGTTAATTTGGGGTTAATAAAGACAAACGCCAAATAACATGTAACAATAAAATGGGGTTTATTCGGTTGGTAAGTTGGTACAGAAATCGCCTGAGTAGTCTATAACTAACTCAGCCCAGAACTTCTCCGACACTGTCTTTTTACATGCCACTATTTAACGTCCTTGTTTGTAGACGAGTTCATCTTCAAGAGGGGTGGTAGGTTCCTACACAACATAAACAAACGAACGACGTTGGGTGTAATAGAAAAAGGGATGAAGAAGGAAGGAGAAGAAGACGAAATGAAGGAAGAGAAGAAAAGCAAGGGTATTATAAATGCATCGTTGTGCGTTTGTTTATTTATTTAAAAAAATAATATAGAGTTCATTAGCTTCTTTAAAAAAACAATGGGTTAAGAGATCATTTGATAAAAATCGCCTGAGGACACAGTAAGGTTGAAACGAAGGACTTGACCTCCTGATTCTTAAAGTTAAAAGCTCTATGTTATTTTTACTTTTATTTTATTATTGGTCTCCTGATTTTTAAAGTTAAAAGCTCTACATGTTATTTTTACTTTTATTTTATTTTTTCACACGTGTACTGAGCACTTTTTAATATCATTGTTTCCTGGTCTGTTTCAACTCTGACCATTAAACTTTTATGTATTATATATATATATATATATATATATATATATATATATATATGATTATTTAGGCAGAAATAAAGATTTAAAAGGATACAAAAAATTGCAAGTAGTCCGAACCGATCAACGATGGCGAGTGATAAGTCATTCAAGAGAAAAAAAAGCCCGTTAAAAAGGAAAAATAACCAAGTTAGAAATAAAGAAAGAATTAAAAGTAAAAAGAAATTGATATGAAACAAGAGGGAACGCAGAAAAACGAATAAAAACGAATGAAAAAATAAACGAAAATATAAAAAAAAAGAATTCTTATAAATCTAACCAAAAAATCAGATTTTCTTTCTTGATTAAGCGTTTCGAAAAAATTTAAAAAAAAAGCAGAAAAGTAAGCAAAGGAAGAGATTGCAATAAAGAAATACCCAGCTTTTGACCAACTGCAAAGGCATACGTTTAACGAGAAGTAAATCAGAACTCCAATATATATTACGCGAATGTTGCCTTGCAGGCTTCCACACCAAAGGGTTTAGATTAGCAAATAGCATCTTTGCATGAGCTTTGGCTTTTGCTGACATTGAATCTTCTTTTCGGTACGTACTGTTGGTCGTTTAAACAACAATGCGGCCCCTAAATGTTGCTCTAATCAGCTTTGTCCGCAGTAGATCAACTCCCCATCAATTTGTCTTCCATAAGGGCATCAAGTCCGATTGATTACTGAAATTTCAGTCTTCTTATGAAATGTATTTATGTAGGCGGAGTGAAATTGAAACTAATCAAGTGATTAACCATTTCTTAATATTATTGAACGTTCTTGTTCAATCAAGAAACGCTGTTGATATTTTTTTATTACTTTCTTTACTTATCATGGTAAGACTCTTTAACTATCTCTCTTCTTCCGAAATTAAATAAGGAAGCAGGCAGAGAAAAATTCCTTCTTTCTGTCTTTAGGATTTTTTTTCTTTTTCTCTTTATTTCTTTTTCTTTGTATAAATTCGGGCGGGATAATTCGTTTTCCTTCATGTTTTTTCCTTTTTCATAAGTTCTTTTTTCTCTTTTGAAATCCTTGTCTTTCTTTCTTTCTTTCTTTCTTTCTTTCTTTCTTTCTTTCTTTCTTTCTTTCTTTCTTTCTGCGAAAGTTTTCTTTTTCTCCTCCTGTAGTGGCAATATTCTTTCTTTTTTCTTTCTTTCTTTCTTTCTTTCTTTCTTTCTTTCTTTCTTTCTTTCTTTCTTCGAAAATTTTCTTTTTCTCCTCCTGTAGTGGCAATATTTTTTTCTTTCAAAATCTATTTCATTTTTTCTTTTTTCTTTCTTTCTTTCTTTCTTTCTTTCTTTCTTTCTTTCTTTCTTTCTTTCTTTTCCTGAATCTTTTCTTTTTTTTCCATTTTTTCTCATCGATAGGTATAGTACCATTTATTTTTCTTTCACTGTTTCTTATTTTTTACTTATCATGTTAAGACTCTTTAACTATCTCTCTACTCCTGTAATGGAATTACGAAACAGGCAGAGAATAAGAACGGACGACAAAGAGCAATGCAGAATGGGTTAATAATCTGATCGTTTCTTGTTTTAGCTTTGACTTAAATAACAACGGAAAAAAAATAAAGAAAATATCTTGGTGGGTACATTCATTATCACAAGCAAAAGGGTAACATTTAAGCTCACTTATTCTTTTATTATTCGACGTTTAACTTTAACCAAAAAATACTATTATTTATTATATGCTTTATGGCGGAAAGGTTAAAACACTAACATTCCGAGCATGAGACCTGTCTTGAAATCTCATCATTTGTTAAGAAGGTGACTTTTTGATATCGGCCTGGAAAGGCGAATGAAAAGCTCCTGAAAACAGTGCCATAGGTTGACACAAGCCTTGTGAGTAAAACTATATAAAGGAAACTGTTCGGAAGTCGTTGATATTTGTGTTAGCATGATTCACTCATAATGACCATTCGAACGCATTGGTTTTGTTCCACTACTGATCACGTACGTTTTCTTTCAGAAACAGTAACTAAGGCACGCTTAACAGAGTTATATATATAAAAAAAAACATATTAACTCTGGGTATTGAAGAAAAAATATGCCTGAGCAGGCTTCTGTAACAAGGATTAGCTAGCCTGAGATACATACTACAATCATCAAATTAAATTTTCCACTTAAAACAACAAATACGCTTACAACGCACCATGTTTTATAACCTTTGTCTTTTATGTGTCATATCTCTTTAGGACGTTGGCGATCATGGCACTCCACAATTTCCTGTCCTTTGTAGCTCTTAGTCTTTTTTATCCCTCGTAAACTGTGTTCTAGAAATCATTTTCACAAACCCGTTAGGTAGGTCATGCGCTGTTTTTCTCTGTCTCTTTTGCCTTTAATATATCCTGTGAATGACAAATTTTCTAAGTTGTCATTCTTTATTAGGTGCCTTAGAAATATCAATTATCTAATTCTGATTCTAAGACATTAGAATGTCTGACGCTCAACTTCTCGAGAGCAACTCTCTGCGGCCTCTCGGTCTCACGTTGACTGCTGACCTGAGATGGAATAAATACATCGAGTCAATTGCCTCGTCCACTGCGAGGAAAGTTGGCCCCTGAGCCACGGAAGTTTTCTCCCCCTGTCGATCCTCCAGATATACAAATCCACAATTCGCCCTTGCATGGAGTATTGCTGCCATATATGGTCTGGCGCCCCTTCTGTTTGCCTCGGGTTCTTGATAGGCTCCAGAAGCGGATATGCAATATGGTTGGCCCTACCCTGGCGTCTCGTCTACAGTCACTTTCTCACAGACGAACCGTCGCCTCCCCTGTCTGTTCTACAAAAATACTTTCATGGAAATTGCTCCGAGGAGCTGCATTCGCTGGTTCCCAGACTTCATGAGTTCAAGCGCCCTACGAGGCTGGCATCCTGCTCTCACCCCTTCACTGTCGAAACCCTAAATGTAGCCGTCTCTTCTACTCTAATAACTTCATGTCTCGCACCTCTCGCCTGAGGAACTCTCTTCCCTTCTCCTGTTTCCCTGTGAGCTATAATCTCCAGCTATTCAAGTGTAATGTCAATCGACATCTCCAGTTGCCTTTAATCTATCCACTACCTCATCCTTTCTTCTATCCTCCTATCTGATCTTGCTATTTTCTGTAACCCCCCGTCCTAGTGGCTTCCCGCCTTGCTTGGGGTGAAATGGTTAAAAAAAAAAAAAATATAAGTGTCCTTTTTGTTTGCATTTTCTCATCGTTGCTGACATGTTCAGTCTGTGATATACCCAGCCACTTAAATTCTTCCTACATCTTCTAACCTAGGCATCTCTCTCTCTCTCTCTCTCTCTCTCTCTATATATATATATATATATATATATATATATATATATATATAAAAGCAAATATATGGATATAGATCCGACAGTATGAAGAAAAATATACGGAAAAAAACAAACAAAAATCCTAATATGCAATTATGCTGTTTTAATGTTAATATAATGTCAACGTCGGACGTTTCGGTCTAGTAGTTAATTATGTTTTATGAATATGTCCTGAAGATGGTCTACTAGACCGCAACCTCCGACGTTGACATTATATTAACATTAAAACAGCATAATTGCATATTAGGATTTTTGTTTGTTTTTTTCCGTACATTTTTCTTCATATATATATATATATATGGGTGTGCCTACATCTTCTAACTTATCTTTTACTATAGTGATGCTTTATACGCAAACACGGGAATTGATATTAGTATTTATCCCCTATTAAAGCATTTATTCAAGTCAATATAAATTTATTTTTTGTAAATGGTGACTACGAGGTCTGTCCGGAAAGTATCCACCCACTTTGAATTTCGCGATAATCTTGGGTTTCAACAGATTTGAGTTAAGATGGCAACCAATCACGCAGGAACAGACACTTTCTTGTTTTTTTAATCTGTCATATGTCATTAATTTAGCATGTGTACCATGTACTTATCTATTACATTCTTTATGACTGAGTATGTATATTTTTCATATCCCGATTTTTTTTTTAATTCCTTTTACAAAAAGTTGTATCAACCATGACTATCAGTGTCTCCACTACAAAGCAGATTTGTCTCCAGTTGAATTAGCAGAAATGAAATGAAGGAAAAACACGGCGAAGGAGCTGGTAGCGATCTTGTAAAATGATTTCTTTTGAAATCAGGATAGTAGGTTAGGTTAAATATGTGGACTTACAAGAGGAGTACTTTGTAAAGGATGAAGCGGCATTGCCCTAGGTAGGCTATCTTTTCATTAATATAGTTGCGTATTTTCCAGACAGTCGCCGTGCTTGCATTTTTTAAATGGTATTTATCTTCATCGAGTAGGAAATCAATGAGTCCTTTTCTTTTGCTATATTCTTGGGATCAGTGTGACTAATTATTGTAGAGTTAGGGTTTTTGTTGTCTTCTACATGGTTTTGAATCCTGCATTGCACTTCTCTTAGGCTGGGTGGGTAGCCAGCTAGACTTAGAGAAGGGTAATTAGTTTTTTAATCCATAGCTGGAGGAAAAACAGATGTCTTTCCCAAGTGCACATAACAAACACTGTCAGAATGTGAACTCAGATTGCTGATTTCATTTTCTTCACCGATAACCGTGTTGCTACCCGCATATCTCTCACGTACATAATCCAACGTAAAATGCATGTTTCAGTATCTAATAATGAGTTAGCACACACACACACACATACACACACACACACACACATATATATATATATATATATATATATATATATATATATATTATTGTTCACCATATACAAGACCCAAGAGCCACTTGAGGTAGAAGTTTACAGAGCAAGAGGTAAGCGGCACATTTTATGAGGATATGCGGGGAAGATAATGGTTAACCATAGAATTGAGTGGGTTAAAATTTTAATGATCGTGGAAGCACACAACACACAAGCACACATACACACACACACACACACACACACATATATATATATATATATAGAGAGAGAGAGAGCGCGAGAGAGAGAGAGAGAGTGAGTGAGGGAGAGACAGGGAGAGAACGACAAAGAGTAAGAACAACGGAAAAATAATAAACCTTGGATAAAAGAGGTAAGAAAAACAAAAAGAAAGAAAAAGATAGAAAGAAAGCTGAATGAAAAATTAAGAAAGAAAGGAAGAAATGAAGGAAGAAAGGATGTAAAAAGGAATGAGAGAAGGAAGGAAGGAAGGAAGAAAGAAAAAATTACGGGAAACAGGGATTTTGATTCCTCTCGAAATCGTAAAATGACCCGCCTTGGAAGTTACACATGTTTTTCAGAGCACCACCCATTTTCTGACACATACATCAGCAATTGTACACACACACACACACACACACACACACACACACACACACACACACACACACACACAAACGCACGTGCGCGCGGCCCTCACACTTACAAAGGGCGAAATTGACAAAACATATGAAAGCCTTATTGCAATTCTCTAAGCAAGTGTACAAAATCAATTTGATGGTCTTAATGTGTTCGCTAAATATGGCCGAGCTGTGTGTGATTTGACACTCGTAGGAGGGTAATTTTTGTCTTCTATCTCTGATAGGTTCATTTACATCGCACGGCTCGGTCATTAGAGAAGGGGCAAAAGTAGCATCGCCCCCTGGCAGAAGAAAAATAAAAGAACAGAAGGGGAGCTTGGATGGAAATAATAATATGGCCAAACGAAGGAACGAAGCAATGAACGTCTTCGCCATCCAAAGACTATCTACGTTGTTTCGCTGTGCTTTTATCTTTCGTTTTCTTGCTCCTTTTATTCAATAGATTCGTACATTATTTACATTCTATTCTTTCCTAGTCATGTGAATATTTTTCTTTTTCGCCTCATCTTTTCTTCATTTGTGTTTGTCTTTCTTCTTTTTTTTTAGCCTTGTACATTTAACTCTTTTATTTCTTTTATTGATTGCAACGTCTCTTTCTATTTATCCTTCTTTCTTTTTCTTTCCTTTTTTTATATCCATTTTGCTGAATGCTTTCTCTTTACTCTTTCCTTTTTATTTTATTTTTTATTTTCATTGATAGGTGTTTGGGTTATTAATTTTTCTTTCACAATTTCTTATTTACTTTTTTTTTTTCTTTTTTTTCTCTCTATTCTCCCCTCGTTTCTGCCTCCTTTTTTTTTCTTTTCCTTTGTTCTTTCTTCTTCTTCATATATAAATTGGGCCGGGATGTTTGGTTTTACCTTTTTGCTTCCTTTCTTTCTTTCTTTCTTTCTTTCTTTCTTTCTTTCTTTCTTATGTACTTTTTTTACTTTTCAAGTCATTGTCTGTCCTTTTTTTTATTTTTCTTTCTTTCTTTTCCCAAGTGTTTTCTTTTTCTCCTCTATTTTTCTCATACAATGATATTTATTTTATTTCACTGCCTCGTTTTTCTTTCTTTCTTTCTTTCTTTCTTTCTTTCTTTCTTTCTTTCTTTCTAAATGCTTTCATTATTCTCTTTTATTTTCTTTTGAAATTATTCCTTCCTTCCTTCCTTCATTCATTCCGTTCTTCTTTCTTTCTTTTTCCAAATGCTTTTATTTTTTTCTTCAATCTCTCTTTTAAAATGATTCCTTCTTTCCTTCCTTCCTTTCAATGCTGTCATTATTCTCTTCTGTCTTTTTTTTTAAATCATTCCTTCTTTCTTCTGTCCTTTCTTCTTTCTTTCTTGTGAAATGCTTTTATTATACTCTTGTCTTTTTTTAAATCATTTCTTTCTTTCTTTCTTTCTTTCTTTCTTTCTTTCTTTCTTTCTGTTCTAAACCATCTTTTTCTATCTATCATCTTCGCTTATACAAATTCTCATTTCTTAACCGATCTATATGCATAAGAAATAAATCGCCAAAGTGTTATGGCATAAAAGAAATATTGGCATAGCGTATCCGTCAAGAATTTTCGTCCAAATTTTAAGAGATTAACTTGGTGCCCTCGCTGCTGCCTCTAGTCTTTTTAATCATTGATCAAGAGAAACGAAAAATAAGTATGTAAACTTTTTGATCAGCAATCATGATATTTTCATTTTCTGTTAGATGGCTGTGTCTTTCTTTCTTGCTCATTTGCTAAAATAAACTCCAACATTTCCACGCTTAAATAAAACTAAATATTATACCTATTCACAAGCATTGAAATGACTCTCCATGATACTATTTAAAAATTCGGCTTTTTTATTCTTTTACACGCAGTCATATGTGTGTACGGATTTCAGACAATGCGTATCATTATAATTGGTGATTATATAAGAAATAAAATTTTTTAAGAATTTTTAAACCAAAAAGTATTTACGATCAAGACACGATGCATAGTTTATTGAGAAACTCTTAGTCTAAAACACCTTGCAGGTGCTCGTTGTATATACCTTTTGTCCCAAACTCTTCCCCATATATATATATATATATATATATATATATATATATATATATATGTGTGTGTGTGTGTGTGTGTGTGTGTGTGTGTGTGTCTATTTGGTCGAGCACTGTAGAAAGAAATCGCGAATTTGTAAACAGTGATTGCTACTGCTGATAATGTAAATCTCCTCTATGTATCGTGTACACTGGGTCACTGACATGTTTATTCAAAAATAAATACGTAAAAGGAGTTGATAGCTTAGAATAAATACCTCCGAATGATGCCAAAATTCGGGTTTCGATCCTGGCTTGAGACAATCGGATGTCTAGCCACACTGATGAGCTGTGATACAGCGAAACAGTCTGTCTGTGGATGACAATATATGTATTAGTGTACTGGGGCAGCACATCATTATTTAGACATATATTGTTAAATATAACAGACAATGAATGTCTATTATGTTTGATCATGAGCCGTTCGAATGTTTGCATTAATTTCGGGTGAAAATAAAGACAAAAATTGTCCAACATTTGGATAATTTTTATTAAGCTGATCTAAGTTTTCGATTCTGTTGTTAATCTTTCGGTTCCTCACGTGGTCCTACGTCATAGAACCGCATCATAAATTTACGACCTGCGTCTGCTATTCCGCGACCGTTATCTTCGCATAGCAATTTTCTAAATCAACATAACAGAATATCGTCTTTGATGGTGAATATCTTTGTGCATAACCACTCTGAAGATGGCTCGTGTGCCGTGTCACTGGTGGTGAATATATTGAACATTTATGAAATCAGTCCCATAATAACCTTATGATGTTCAACACCTAAATTGTTCAATTTCATTGAGCTAGACTTAGTAGTTTTCAGTGATGCTTTTAAAATGATGCTATTTTTTTAACACCCTGTATATATATATATATATATATATATATATATATATATATATATATATATATATATATATACATACACATATATTAATATGTTTCATTGAATTTAGATAAGTTTTTTGCCTACTTATTTTCACATTCGCATACAAACTTTTTGGTGTCATTATTAAAGGAAGAGAGAAAATGACCATCTTGATATATATTTCATTCGGAGCACCTTCGACATTAGAACATCATCATCATCAGTGTGTTGTTTATTTCAAGACTAATATTGTAGTGTTTATCATTTTCAAAATCAAAATTGATGCGTTCATTTGAATGATGAACACGACAATATTGTCGAATGGCACCAAAAAGCTTGTCCGTGAATATGAAAGGATGCAGATGAAAATAAGTAGACAAAACTTTTTAAATTATACAACGAAACATGTCTCAATGAAAACATGCCGCCAAAATATACGCAATATATATATATATATATATATATATATATATATATGAACACACACACACACACATATATATATACACACACACACACATATATATATATATATATATATATATATATATATACAGAGAGAGAGAGAGAGAGAGAGAGAGAGAGAGAGAGAGAACAATGGTGACTGAGTGTGAGATAGAAAGTAAATTCAGAAGACAATTTAATAAACTTTTAATATGTTTCGCTAATGAACAGGTGTTTTTATTAAATTTTCTTTCAATAAAATCGAGGGAAAACGTGATTTTCCTAAAGCGGCTGAAAGCTTGATTTTTACTTTAACTGTATCGTTTTAGAAATTAGATTCCAACAAATTTCGATTTAGTTTTTATTTATCTATTTATTTATTTGTTTTCAAGTTTATGTATTCCACAGTGATTCAGTTTTAATTTAGTAAAAACAGGCGGAAACTGAAATAGCGTGGTCGTATATTATCTGTAGAACATTGTATTTTTAATGCATCTTCGTCATTTTTAATAATCAAAACGCATTTTCCAGGTGAAACTTGTGATCACGACAACTCATGTGGCGTAAAATTGTATGGAGTCTGTTACATTTTTAATCTATTTTATCTGGGTATATTTTAATTTTTTTTTTGATAATATTTTGGGAGACATTGTTTATCTTCTTTTTTGGTAAACCCCTACTTCAAATTTAATGTTAGCTCTGCAATTTATTACAATTTAACCGTTTTTGATAATTACTATACTAGGATTGGCTAAATTTATTTGAAAATAATTAGTTTGTATGTAATATACTGAGGTTATGTTTGGTTTTGTGTATTTTGTACAATTTTCTTTTGTCATTATTTATGAAATAACTAGATTCTCTTCTTTATCAAGTAAATATTGAAGGATGCAAATTCTAAAGTCTATTAAATAAAAAAACTATGATCATGCCGAGTGTATTCTTCTCCGTTTCTTCCTTGTATAATTATGATTACGAAGATACGGCAGCTCGGAAAACTCAATCGTTCTGATAATAAAAGAACTCCCGAATTTGTTGGTGAGGGCCTCACACTTAACACAGAGGCATAAATCAAGTACTTTGAGCAGATAGTACTGCCCTGGGTCAAGAGGGTGATTACAGGATGTCTCTGTGTCAGACAACAGGACTCTGCACAATGCCACACTAGCAGGAGGGTCTAGTCATGGCAGACAATTTCTGCGATCACATCACCCCTTACATCTGGTCAACTAATACCCCAAGCTTGAAGCCCTTTGATTATTAGGTGTAGTGTGCAGTTGAGGGATAGACCAACAATATCCTTATAGCACTAATACCTGTTGCAGACGCTCACTAGGGCATATTTGCGTTTGCTCAACATTCACAGAGCAAATTTGTGGCGTATACTGAATCTATGTTGATCGGACCTTAGCTACATTTTGGAAAAGAGCGCATTATCTGACGTGATCAACGTGATCAAGGCCAGTACGCTAGATTACACACTCGATCAAGATGACTTGCAACTTCGTGCCTCCATCAAATAGATTCGTCTACCTAATCTCATTCAATTGGGTCAACTTGTGGAATGGTTTTCAGGCACTTTCCAAAGGTACCACAATCTGGGATCGTTACTATACTTATCAAACTACTATAAGGTAATCAAGCATTTTAACTATAAGCAGGAGAAATAAATTCTAAAAGGACTCATAAACAACAATATATGCCCCACTGATCCGAGTAAAAGGTTAATTATATACTATACTCAATTTAATACAATCAGCCTAGTCATCTATAACAACTCTTCTTTGTCAACTAGCGTCTTAAAAAAGACTAACATCGTATATCAATTTAAATGTCCTTTGGGAAATTGCATCTCTGATAAAAAGGTTAATAATTATGTTGGTTTTACAGCAACAACGATGATGAGAAGACTTACGCTTCAGTTAAAAGATCACCGTTCAATCTCAAAACATTTAAATGAACACTCATGTTCGCATTCCTAGTTTAGACAGATATTAGTCGAAAATACATCAAGTTAATAATAAGCAAATAACTAAAATTCTGGAAGCCCTTTATATAAGAGAATTACGGCCAAAAATAAAGTTAACTACGAGTATAGCAACAAAGTTCTTAAATGTTTGTAGCAGCAAAGTGGTATATAAATAATGCTAAATTAAAAATACTACATTTAAAAAATCTTTTAAAAATTAAAAAAAAAATCTTTAGAAAAAATCAGATAAGTTACCTCCCTTGCATATAGGTAAAAAAATATTCTGAATTTACGGTGATAACACATAACACATCCATAGATATGCAAGCCTTGAAAATAGTCTCAGATGAGATTGAGATACTTGGGAAAATTAAAATTATTTGAAAGAAAATTATGGAATTTTTCTTAATCAGTTTTCTACAGCCACCAAGAAAGTAATTCGTGAACTTGAAAGGATTAGAACTAAAATAAACATAATACGTCTAAATTATTTAACCAAACATGCTTGAATGAAAATATATGCATATATATATATATATATATATATATATATATATATATATATATATATATATATATATATATGCATTAACGTACCTGCCTAAACCTTATAGCTGTGTACATATACTGATTTATAGATAAAGGTAAAGCACTCGATAAAAGACATTCATATCTATACCGATGAAGTGTACTTCCTAACAAATCGGAAAACACACATACATTGCGCACTTCACTGTCGTTTTTTTTTTGTTCTTTCTGTCCTTCCATCATTCTCTCGCCTCCCCACCCCTTTTCACTTTCACTTTCACTTTCAATTTTAACAATTTTGCTTTTCTCCTTTCCCTGCTATTTTCCTTATCGTCATCTGATTACCTGTCTACGTGATTTCTTTTTCATCCCCTCTCTACCTCTTCTCTACCCTTTGCCTCTTCCTCTCTTTTGTTTCTTTGCCCCTCCCCCAATTTCGTCTCTCCTCATTTCAACTCGCCTAATAAAGATAAAGGCTCTCCAAGTGCAGCTGTATCGTTTGATGCACTTATTACAAGCAACATTACACCTTTGCCCGAACTCTGACCGCTCTCTCCTCTACGACCCCCGCTCATATACCAATTGTCTTTTCTCCCCCTTTCAGGTTATCCGGAACACATCAAAACTCACCACCAAAAATGTTTTTCAATAATCTGAGTATTCAGCCTTTATTAGCTTTTATTTTCCAATCAGTAACGATCCAAATCTTTTCTTTTTTTTTCTTTTCTCTTCTTAAGCAAATTTTTCCTGCTCTTTTCTTGTTATCTTCGTTATTTTCTATCTTTTATTATTATTTTCATTCCTCCTGTCCGATTCTTACCCCGCTCTTAAACCCATCATCATTTGGCACCCACACAGAGATCTGCGAAAAAAAAGAAAAGGACTCATTACAGATGACTCACAACTCACCCCAGGGCCGGCTGAAATGTTACCTTACAACGCCAATCGTAGAACTAAGTTTGGAAACTGCACATAGATACTTACATACATTCATAGACAAGTTGTGTAAAGTTCCTTTATCATATATTTGTACACTTATTCTTTATCATTCTTCGTTCTTTACTCCTACCGGTTTTCTATCTTCTTTTTTTTTTTTTTTTTTTTATGCTTGTTCTTTTTCTGTTCAATCAATTCTGAAATATTTCAAACTTCTCTTTGTTTCTTTATCTTCGTCTTCATTTCTTTCCAGTTACCATTTCTTTTTTTATCTATCAGTTTCCTCTTCCGTAATTTATTCCTATTTTCTTCTTTCTTGTTTGTTTCCAAGAATTTCATTCGAACTGCAAATGATTTCAGTCTTTATTTTTCCTTCCCATTTTCGGCCTTTTCCTTCTAAATCTTTCACACTCTCCGTCAGCATGCATGAAGACAAGTTTTTACAAGACTTATCTATCTATCTATCTATCTATCTATCTATCTATCTATCTATCTATCTATCTATCTATCTCAGTCTGTTCGTTATCTCTCTCTCTTTTTCTATCTATCTATCTATCTATCTATCTATCTATCTATCTATCTATCTATCTATCTATCTCAGTTTGTTCGTTATCTCTCTCTCTTTTTCTATCTATCTATCTATCTATCTATCTATCTATCTATCTATCTCAGTTTGTTCGTTATCTCTCTCTCTTTTTCTATCTATCTATCTATCTATCTATCTATCTCAGTCTGTTCATTATCTCTCTCTCTCTCTCTATCTATCTATCTATCTATCTATCTATCTATCTGGAAATATTTGAGGAGGTGCTGAAAAGCGCTTTGCATGACCCACATGTTCAAATCTGAACAAATGATCAAACATGAAAGTTTGAAGGAATTCCTTCTTGATTCGACAGACGTTATCGCCGTATATATATATATATATATATATATATATATATATATATATATATAGATAGATAGATAGATAGATAGATAGAAAAGTGTTCATCTTAGGACAAGTTCGCATCAGTAGGCTTATTCCTATCTATCTATCTATCTATCTATCTATCTATCTATCTATCTATCTATCTATCTATCTATGTGTGTATATGACTGTATGTGTATGCCATTGTTATTATATTTCACTTCTTTTTCATTCATTGTCCATTTCAGTCTTTTATTTTTTCCATCTTATCACTTGATATTATTGCTATCACCTTCTATGTGAAAATTGTCTTATTCCACAAGTATTATTATTACTACTACTACTACAACTGTTGTAACGGCTACTAATAATTCACGCAAGCACACGCATTACTTGGTAAAATTTGTTTATCGTATTTAGTATCTCATTGTTTTTTTCTTTTGTTCGACCTTAAAATGTACATATATTCCATCTCTCCCCCTCTCAAAACAACGCTGTCCCACTTTCATCAACCATTTTATTCGCTCTTTCTTTCGTAATAAGTCAGAGTTAACTTTCCTATTTGATTTTCTCTTCTCGTTCTTATTTCTCCTCTCTCTCTGTCTGTTTACCTGTCTCTCTCTCTCTCTCTCTCTCAATATATATATATATATATATATATGTGTGTGTGTGTGTGTGTGTGTGTGTGTGTTGCCTATGGATACCTACATACGTATAAAGGCTGTAAGAAGTTTCTAGATTAGGTATTTTTTAAAACTATGTGCATATTATTTTCCCTCTTTCTTATTACACTAACGACCAGCAGTTATTTTCTCATGGCGTATTTTCTACTCAAAGATTGCAGACAGAGCCAAAACACCGGACGATGATTGCCCTGACTGTACACAGACAACTGTGAGAATTACGTGCTAGGGAAGATCAGAAAATGGGCGGCTACTAATACGAAAGAAATAGCCGGTGCCAAATGGTAAACAAGGCCGATATTATACTAACAACGATTTCAGCAGACTTGGCTAACGGCCGTAGCATTCGCTGAAATTGGTTCTCACTATGAATGAGACGTAACACTGATATTAAGTAGAATCGTGGTTATTTTTCGAATTACAATTCAAAATAGAGTCCAGAAATGGAGAGGTAGACACACACACAAACATACATAAAAAGAGAGAGAGATAGAGAATATAAACTGGAAAAGAGAAAAAATTATAAAAATGGGTAGAGAGAGAAAGAAAGGCAGAAGAGAGAGAGAGAGAGGGGGGGAAATATCTTAAAATGGGGAGAAAGAGGAAAAAAGAGGGAAGAGAGGCAGAGATGGAAAACTGAATAGATAAGAATATAAATGGAAAGAGAGATAAAGTGAGAAATAAATAAAAAAGAAAGCGTGTGTGAGAGAAAAGATAATAAAACTGGATAATGAGAGTGAGGGGTAAAGAGAGACAGAAAAGAATATAAATGGTAAGTGAGAAAAAAAATCAAGATAAAAGTGGAGAAGGAAAGGAAAAGAGAGACAAAGGAAGATAAGAATATGAATGACAAGAGAGAACGAGAAAGAAAAAGAGCGAGAGAGGGGGAGATAAATTATGAAAACGGAGAGAGGGAGAGAAGAAAAGAGTGAGAAAGAAAGCGTGAAAAAGAAAGAGAGAAATGTTTGAATGACTGAAAGCTTTTCGATGCTGAGCGGATTAAAATATGCCGGATTATAGGTGGTTTCGTATAAAAGAGGAACACTGTTTCGAACCCTGCTGGAAGGCGCATTTTCTTTGTGAAGTCTCTTGAATGCAATGCAACTTGAGAAATAAGCACAAGGGAGAGCCGAAATTAAAATATAATATCTAGGAGAGAAACAATTTGGGAAAAATAACTGGAGTAAGTAAGTATCGAAGTTAAAAAGTAGAACTAAAATAAGAGAGATTGGGAAAATAAAAGGAGAGAGAGAGAGGGGGGATAGAAAGCGATGGGGTTGGGATGAAATCAAAAGATTACAGAATAGAGAGAGGGAGATGCACACTGGGGAAAGCGAATACTGTTAAGTTTAAACGAATGTTTGAGGAAAAGTGTGAAGCCAATTGTGAGGAATGTAGTAAATAAAAGATATATGTGAAGTAGCTGTTTATTGAGCTTCATTTAAAGGAATGGTTGTGCTGATAGACCAGAGAGAGAGAGAGAGAGAGAGAGAGAGGGAGAGGGAGAGAGAGGGAGAGGAGGGAGAGAGGGAGAGGAGAGGAGGAGAGGGAGAGAGAGGGAGAGACAGAGAGAGAGAGAGAGAGAGAGGGAGAGGGAGAGAGAGAGGAGAGGAGAGGGAGAGAGAGAGAGAGAGGGAGAGAGAGAGAGAGAGAGAGAGAGAGAGAGAGAGAGAGAGAGAGAGAGAAAGAAAGTAAGATACTAAAAGGTAAAAGATTATAAAACTTTCGGGAAGTAAAAGAAAAGTAAAACTTAAGCGCGTAATTAAAGAGATATGATAACAAAACTGCAATAGCTAAATAGATAGATAGTAAATAAGAGATAGAGAGAGAGAGAGAAAGAAAGAGGGAGAGAGGAATTCATTGAGGATGAAGGAGAGAAGGAGTGAGTGAAAAACTAGCAGGATAGAAATAATAACGGATTACACATTTCAAGAACTTTCTTGGTTTACTGTGTGCGCCATTAGCTGGCGACTACTTGAATGTCACCAAAAGTGTTTCCGGTCCTCTACTTCCGGCTTGTCACGACGAAAAGCAAAGATATTGATCAAACATCGTATGGGTCAAGAAAAGAACTCTTTCAAGCCATTGTGTTAAAAGGGCGAAAAAAAATCAAGGTTTTTGCTCTTCTATTGTTCAGATCAACAAGTCCTTTTGGCTCGTGTCGTAAAAGGAAAAAAAGAAAGTTCAGAGGACATCGTTTTCTTTCTGTTTTATTCATTTTTTTTTTATAAAAACGTTCTGAATTTTTATCCTTTCTTTATTTTTCAGTTCTTCATATTTACGCACGAGATATAAATACCAGGTAGACGAATCAATAGAATTTCTATTGGACCGATTGAATTCGTTTGTCAAGTTTGCAGATCCAGTCATTGCAGGGAAACTGGTGACGCTGAACACATTGTCTGAGATTGACAACCAGAAGTGCCCTTCACACAAGACACCAACCGAAGGTGCTAACATCAACAACTGCAAAAATAGAGTTCTTCTGTTTTGGTTTGTCATCTTGTGGTGCCAGGGACAAAGGTGGAATGTCTATAAGTCCTTTTGAGTTGTCTGGAAGCAAAGTTTGCACATTACTTTAAACTGGTGTAGAGTCTGATATGTTTTACGTAAATGTTCAACAGCAGAAATAATTCCAAATTTAGATGCGGCAGTTAAGGTTAGAGTTGTTTCTGTCTGAATCTCGGAAACGAGGAGTTATTACTTTCATGATTTAAAGTCGAACGAATATCCTTATCTTTGTTGTCATTATCACAACGCTTCGGCTGTTGTGATCACCGGACATCTTCAGGTGTCTCTCAATCTGGTTAAACTTCAGTAAGTTTTCAACTGAACCGTTTATTTAATCTACTGTGTAGGTTTTTCTCATTTTCAAATCCATGTCTCGTTTGGATTAATTGTCCTTTTTTGAACTGATCATTAATTGAATCTCCTGTTTCTAGTGAAACGGGACAATAGCCTATCGGGCACAGTATAAACATTTTCACATTATTTAAACATAAACTGAATTATACCTATTCTTAAAAATAGTTTCAAATTTTGCATAAGGCTCCCTAACAATCATTTGTTTTTATAGCTTAATTAAATAGGACGGCTCAAACATAACGTGGACAAACTATTGCATTGAAAATTAAACAGGACGGCTCAAACATAACGTGATCAAATTTATCGCATTGAAAATTAAATAGGACGGCTCAAACATAACGTGATCAAATTATCGCATTGAAATTTAAATAGGACGGCTCAAACAAAATTTAATCAAATTATCGCATTGAAATTTAAATAGGACGGCTCAAACAAAACGTAATCAAATTATCGCATTGAAATTTAAATAGGACGGCTCAAACATAACGGGATTAAATTATCGCATTGAATATTAAATATGACGGCTCAAACATAACGTGATCAAATTATCACATTAAAAATTAAATATGACGGCTTAAACATAACGTTATCAAATTAAATAGACGCTTCATTGAAAATTATAAAAATTAAATGACGCTTCAAAATTATAATGAAAATTAAATATGACGGCTTAAATTATCGCATTGAAAATTAAATATGGAAACATAATGTGCAAATCAAACATAACGTGATCAAATTATCACATTAAAAATTAAATATGACGGCTTAAACATAACGTTATCAAATTATAGCATTGAAATTTAAATATGACGCTTCAAACATAATGTGATCAAATTATCGCATTGAAAATTAAATAGGACGGCTCAAACATAATGTGATCAAATTATAGCACTGAAAATTAAATATGACGGCTTAAACATAACGTGATCAAATTATAGCATTGAAATTTAAATATGACGCTTCAAACATAATGTGATCAAATTATCGCATTGAAAATTAAATAGGACGGCTCAAACATAATGTGATCAAATTATAGCACTGAAAATTAAATATGACGGCTTAAACATAACGTGATCAAATTATAGCATTGAAATTTAAATATGACGCTTCAAACATAATGTGATCAAATTATCGCATTGAAAATTAAATAGGACGGCTCAAACATAATGTGATCAAATTATAGCACTGAAAATTAAATATGACGGCTTAAACATAACGTGATCAAATTATAGCATTGAAATTTAAATATGAACATAATTCAAAATCATAAAATGTGATCAAATTATCGCATTGAAAAAATTAAATAGGACAGCTCAAAATCAAATTATAGTAATGTGATCAAAATAATTATAGCATTGAAAATTAAAACATATGACGGCTTAAACATAACGTGATCAAATTATAGCATTGAAATTTAAATATGACGCTTCAAACATAATGTGATCAAATTATCGCATTGAAAATTAAATAGGACGGCTCAAACATAATGTGATCAAATTATAGCACTGAAAATTAAATATGACGGCTTAAACATAACGTGATCAAATTATAGCATTGAAATTTAAATATGACGCTTCAAACATAATGTGATCAAATTATCGCATTGAAAATTAAATAGGACGGCTCAAACATAATGTGATCAAATTATAGCACTGAAAATTAAATATGACGGCTTAAACATAACGTGATCAAATTATCGCATCGGAAATGGCTGGTATCAACAATTATGAGGTGATAAAACAGTTGTATGTTTGTCGAAAAAAATTTTTTTAATGTGTTGAAAAATTTTCAAAATTATCAAATAAATTCACCATGTCCATTTCAAGAAAAACCATCGTTCATTGCGTACCTGGGTACTCATTAAAGTTGTCAATAAGAGGGTGAAGAGAAAGCACGAGAGAGCTGGTAAAGGAGCTGTATATTTCGTGTAGGTTGCTAAGGAGGATCGTGAAAGAGGATTTAAGGTTAAAACCATACATTATTTATCGACGATATTTGCTTTGAAACGATTCCAAGCAAAAATAGCTTAACAGTTGGAATACAATTTTGAAAGAGATGCAGCGTGCTGCAGACAAAGTCTTCGATTGATCAGACGAAGTATTTTTTCCCTGTGGAGGCTGTGGTCAGCTATAAACAGATTTAGACCACATCATTAGGAAACATCTCTGAAGGTATCAGAAAACTTTTCAAGCGACAGATCTATTCTTATCATGATTTGGGATGCAGTTGCTTCTAGTGGTTTCAAATTGCCTCGGGTGTTCGTTGAAAAAGGATGAAAGTGAATAGCAGAGCTTACCAACAAATCTTGGAGAGATTTGGTTGTCATTCACAATTGGAAATTGCTGTCTTTTCATTCAAAACGGAAGTCCTGCACACATGGCCAATTTGACATAAAACTAGTTCAAGAGAGATTTCCATGGAATATGACAAATCGATATGGCCGTTTCTTTTTTAAATCATTTCACCCCAAGCAAAACAATAAAGCCACTAGGACGAAGGGGTTGCTCTATGTTAGCGAATACGGGGAAAAAAACTACTATTTAGGTGAGAGGACAAGAAAATAACATGAATTAAGAAGACATAATATACCAATTGACATTGCATTTAAAATTTTGAAGATCAAAGTTGATTAGGAAGCAAGATGCCGGATGAAAGTTCCATAAGCGAGAAGTGCGAAAGAAATTTTTTTTAACATAGGACGTATGGTTACATCTAGCCATTTCAACTGTAAAAGGATGAGACCTTGCCGCCAATCTAGTACTGCACTTAAATTCATAAAGTCTAGGTACTATAGTGGAAAGTTTATAAGAACAATTTCCATGAAAGCATTTATAGAAAATGCACATGGAAGCTACGTTACGGCGGTAGGAAAGCCCTGGCATTAATCTGATGTAATTTGTGATATAGACCATAATGGAGAGTGATGATTAACTTAATACATGAACAAAGTGTTTCAAATCTAAAAGTTCTCTTATGATGGCATAGTTCAATTTGAGCGAAGGGATGGTCCTGAACTTCAGCTGAGAAAAGATTAAGGTCTATGGTGAAAGCACAGGGTGGCCGTTTCGAATTGTAGGTCGATGTAAAATATCACCAATAAATATTTAAAAAAAATCAATTTCGAAGCTTTCATTAACCAAAACATAAAAAAAAATATATGATAAGAAAAATAACGGGTAAATATATACCAGTAGAGAATTAAATTTCTGTTTGCTCAATTTGGAGGTGTGGTAATTCTGAGTTCAGTCCTTGGATCGGGCAGTAAATATATACTCAGACCTAATTGAAACGTCTAGCAATAGCTAATTAATACTAAGAGCAATTAACTGAGACGAGACATCCGTGGACATAGCGGAATGAGAACAATTTACACCGGAGATTAGAGAAAGGATTCAGCTTGAAATTCCCAGATGGTTAGCCGAATCGACAGACATAGGGAGAACATCTTAACGTACAGCCGGTTGCCACTTCTTTTGTATGTATTGCTTTCATCACTTTTCTCCTTTTGTGCTATGTCTTTCTGAGTTCTTTCCTTACAATAAATGACACTCCATGTTGGTGATTCTTATGATGGCCAAATTGACAACAATATGGAGGAGCAAAATCAGCTTTAAAACAAAGACTATAAATCGCTGGTAGTCTCCATTCTATTATATGGATGTGAAATGTGGACTCTATTGGCAGATAGAGAGAAAATGATACAAGCGTTTGAGAACAAATGCATGAGAAAACTCCTTGCCATTTTCTATTGAAAACAAAAAACAATGAGTTTGTGTGCAAAAGGGTTGAAAGTTTTGTGGGTCACTAGGAACATCTTGCCATTGTCAAACGGAGAAAAATGGTGTGGTTTGGACACATTACAAGGCACGACAGTCTGTGCCAGACCAGCAAGGCATCGTTGAAGGTGGACGTAGGAGAGGACATCAACGCGAAAATTGGATGGACAATGTCAAGCAATGGACAGTTATGAATGTACCAGAATTGCTGATGGCTGTC